TTGTGGGCATAAATATTCGCCGAACAAAACCGAAAATTGAATTTTAAAATAAACACCGGAAAAAGAATGCCGAATTTCGAAAAACAGAAACCGAAAACGCGGAACCCTAGTTAATTATACCTTTATAAAAATTTGATTTAGTGGTTTTCGATGACGCTCATCAAGCTTCTATTTGGAACCATATGTCTACTTTCATTATTTGAAAAGTTAATAATGAATTATAAATAATTAGCCGACTGATCGTTACGACTAGCCCCCTATATTATGTCCCCCTGGCCAGATAACGCACCTGCGCAAAGCGTATAAATATAACATTCACGACTTTTTTAAGCAAATTTGTTAAGTAAAAGAAAACCCCGTTATATATATATATATATATATATATATATATATATATATATATATATATATATATATAAACGAATATGTGCAGATGAATGAACCATACTTGATCCAATGAATCAAAGAATCGAAGTTTTCAGGAACCCGCCGAAAGCCAAAAAACGGCGGAGCCATTTTTTGGCTTCCGCCGTTTTTTGGCTTTCGGCGCGTTCCTGTAAACTTTGATTCTTTGATTCATTGGATTAAGTACGGTTCATTCATCTGCACATATTCGTTTATATCCTCCTCGGAGACCACGTACGATGGTGTGAAGTGCCCGTGTTGTATATATATATATATATAAACGAAAGCTCGAAACAAATACCGGTTTCTAAATTGTATGCCAAACAGAGAGAGAAGGAAATCCCAGATTCACCAGCTCTTCCTGAAGCACAACACGGCCGTTCTTTCGAGCGCGTCGGTAGAACGACTCTTCAGCGTCGCCGAAAATGTATTCTCGAGGAAGCGGTGGGCATAACTGTTTAAAACCTTGAGATGCACCGAGGGTTCTCTTTTCGTTTTATTTCAGTTATGCTCACCACCTTCGGCCGCCCTCCACTATACCCGTTATATATATTTCTCTCAACTTCTCTACTACGGCATATCAGAACATCAACATACTCAAGGACTGCTCTCTAATTTCGCATTACAGAGATGCGTAAACGCTGCCATTTGTTTTCGATAATGAGTAACGTATTTAGTTCTTTAAAAAAGGGAAAGAGTAATAACGTACTTAGTCACTTTTAAGGCCGAGTAACGAGTAAAGGCATTTCATTGCTTTTGAGGAGTAGCGTGTACAGCAACGTACAACGAGCCTCGTTTGAATTCTAATTTGAGTAGGCGTCAATTGGGCGACAAAGGCATATGCCAACCCGAAAAACAACTAAACAGTATGATAGTATAGAAGCGCTTATCTCTGAACATGTCAGTCGAACTCTACAGCTTTGAATGTTCTTCACCTTGAGAACACAACAACGTTTGTTGGTTGAACCTTGTAGAATCATGTGCAGACCGGATGTAAACCCGGGGTTAGCCAATGGGGGGAAAGGCACAGAACCCGTTGTTAACATAGAACTTTAGAAATAGAGAGAACAAAAAGAGAAAGGGGAATCCCAGATTCACCAGATCTTCCTGAAGCACAACACGGCGTTCCTTCGAGCGCGACAGTAAAACGACTCTTCAACGTCGCCGGAAATGTCTTCTCATGGAAGCGGGAAAACGTAACTGATGCAAACTTCGAGATGCAGGTACTGCTTAAATTAAACTACTACTGAAAAGAAAACAATAAACTATGAAACAAAAGCAGTTGTGTTTATGGTAGTCAAAGTAACGAGAAAAGGAACTCGCTACTTTTAATGTGAAGTAATTCGATCCCTCTGAGAATCAGTAGCCAGCAAAGTTACTTTTTTGGGGTAACGTGTACATGTCTGCATAAAACGCGAATCAGTTTGAATTTTGATATTTCTTTGAAAACTTTTTATTCCACGAGTTGTCCCAGAAAGCGTGTCATGGATATTTTATTGAAATTCTCTGATTATATGGAACCATTTTTTTAGCAAATTACCAAACAAATATTAGTAGTTTTAAACAAGTTTACCTTCTCATTGTTCCGTATGCGTGGAGGATGCAGAGTTAGAAAAAGCTGAAATTCAGTGCTAGGGCTGTCGGTACATAAAAAAAATATCCTGTTTCCCCCAAGGACTCAGTCATTCGGCATAAAGTTTTGAATGGAAGTATCTATAATCTTTTAATTTTTAAGAAACAATTTAATACCATTGCAGCACGTGGTTAAAGTCGTTTTGGAGGGCAGATCGGTCCGATACGTTAGTGATTGAATGGTAGATGACGCAGTCATCTGCAAACATGCGAATAAAACAGGACACATGTTGCGGTAAATTATTAATATACAATGGAAATAAAAGCGGACCGAGAACAGACCCTTGGGGGACGCCCGATGTGAATGGGATGAAATTAGAGGACTGGTTATTAACTAGGACAGATTGGGAGCGGTTGTTGAGAAATTCTTTAATTCATCTTAAGATATCATGGTCTAAGTTTAACTGATCAAGTTTTAGTAGCAAGCGCTTATGAGGTACTTTGTCAAATGCTTCTGAAAAATAAAAAAAGAAATGGCATCAGTTGTATGTTAGAGCCGAGATTAATGTGCAGATCACGAATGAAGGGGGCCAACTGAGTTTCGCGGGAAAATCCTCCGCAAAAGCCGTACTGCGAAGAATGAAATATGTTGATCAAATCCAGAAAATGCATGACTTGAGAGAAATTGAAGTGATCCATGATTTTGCAAGGCACGCTCATATGAGAGTAGGGCGGTAGTGTTATGGGGATCCTTTATTAACTGATTTGTCGGTGGGAACGACCTTTCCCATCTTCCAGTCTTCCGGTATGTTACCTGTTGAAAGGGACTGAGAAAATTACAAGCACATATATGCTGCAGAAATGTGCTTAGTATTTTTTTAGAAATTTGGAATTGATTGCGTCTACGCCGGTTGAGGATGACAGTTTCATTTTATGGATTACTGACGCAATACCATCAGCAAAACAAGTGACGGGAGACATTGGACACTCGCTGTTAGTAGGTAACAGCGTAAATGATACATCAGATTCTGCAGTGAAAACTAATGAAAACGCGGTGTTGAAACCATTTGCAGATTCAGCATCATGCACAAGTTCGCTCGATTCATTGGTAATGGTAACAGTATGCTTTTTCTGAGGGCTTATCACTTCCCAGACTTTGAGGGCGTTTTTAATTAGCATGTTTGGTAAGTCCACGTGGAAAAGAAGAGTACTTGGCGTTTCGGATTGCGGTTAAATATGCATCCCCAGCCGCGTAGTACTTTCCTATGCACTAGGCCCAGTCGTCAGCTTGGCTGAGCAGGAAAGACGTTTTTTTTTCTATTTTTTAAAATCTTTTGAGGGTTTTAGTGAACCACGGTTTTTGTTGAACTGCATGAAAACAGAACAAGGGGATGAAATTATTTGTTAGTACGTTTAACTTATTTTTAAAAATCAACCAAATTCCATAAATTGACCAGTTGTGAAATGTCGCCTCAAAAACTGAAAAGAAGGTGTTCTGCTCGTTATTAATAGTTTCCTTTATCGTACAGGCGAATTTTGTTTTTGGTGTGACGTTTTGCCGGGGTAAGCTCAAAAGAGCATCAATAACTTTGTGGTAGCTAATGTTTCGAAGGTAGTTTTATGAATGATAGACTGTCAGGGTGATTGACTAATATAAGATCTAAAATATTGGCAGATTCGCAAGCGACGCGCGTAGGCTCTTTTAGCATCTGAGTGAGATTAAAATTGAGACAAACCTCAATGAATGTTCTGGCTTCTGAGTTGCTTGCAGTTAAGGACGATGGGTCAATCCAATTAATATTAGGAAGATTCAAGTCACCAAAAAGAAGAATTTGTGGATTTGAGTACTCTACAGAAAGTTGACATTGTTGGTCGTTTAGTTTACGGAAAAGGTAGGTACTATATTTTGGTGGTCTGCAGCTGATGCCCAGTACAACTTTTTGCGGAGAAGCCCGACAGATGAGCCGCAATGCTTCAATATTAGATGGAATGGTAATGAGAGAATAGGACTAGCGGCTGGCTAACGGCGATGAGTACAGCTCCATCTCATGCGCCTTCACGATCATTTCGAACAAGCTGAAAATTTGGCAAGTCAGCTACGACTTAAGAATCAGTGACGTCGGCAGTTAACCATGTTTCAGTTAGTACAAATATATTGCTGCCAGACAACGACACGAGATTAGATACAAGATCCCGTTTCGAAAGGAAGCTCCGTATGTTGGTGAAGATAACAAATAAGGAAGTATTTACAGGACGGGTGGATTGAGGGCGGTTTATTTGTCGCCGATAAATTGGTGATTGTTGTGAAATTTCTTTTACAGTTTCTGACAGCTCGTCAAACTTATAACGTTGCTTGCCAATGACTAGTGTTTTGCAGCGTAACTATAGCCAGCCGGCAACAGCCAGGCGGCGCCAGTAGAGCGAGAGCCCAAAGGTATACCCTGTCTCGTTGTAACTTGGCAAAGGGTGAACAATAAGCCGTACACATTGCGTGCCGAAGTCTTCGAAATGCGCGACGTATACGAGCGCAACGCACACATATTGGAGCATGACGCAGCGAAAAGCCTGATACTTCTTCGGAGTAGAGGCGCGCTCCGCGGTGATACGCAGTCACGTTCCCATTGGCCCGCCAGGGCCGTAGCTTCTGCTGTACTGGCACGTTACGCGATCACGGCTGCCTGGGATACCCAGTATTTCTTGCTTCAGACACTAGGCTAAGCGGCGCCGCCAGAGTAAAAGCTCACGTTTTAACAATGCAGCCGCACTCCCTGGGATATCCAATATTTTTTGCTTCAGTCGATAGATGGCGCCAAACCAAACAGCATTGCAGGTTGCCTATAATGGGGCTTCCTTTTTTAAAGAATGTAACTGCTTGCTTCTGGGCGTTTTGGACGAGTCGCGAGAAATCTTCAACAATGCTAAAGTCGGCGCTCTTTACTCCGTCGGTCGTTCGAAAGAATAGCCGCCTTAGTTTTAGAGAACCTTAGTTTCACGATTAATGGGCGACAGCGTCCGTTGGTGTGATGGCCGAGACGGTGAGCTCGCTCTATATCTCTAGGTTCAAGGGTAACATAGAGGTGATCAGAACATAACTGAATCACTTTCTCTTCGGACTAAACAGAAGTCTTATGTTGGACGGGGTCAAGAACAACCTAAATTAATAAATGATTTCTACGTGAATGATTGCACACATTGTCCATTGGGACGTTCATAACGAAGACCATAAGGGTTCTTTCAGTGGTATCAGCCCGTGCCGTCTCAAGATCAGATTGCAAGGTTTCAACTTTTTCTTGTAATGAACCTCGAGTTCGGGCATTCGCGAATTCTGATTTGCTATATTTCTGTCCGTGGTTTGCAGTTGGGCTTTGAGGTGTTGTACCGCAGAAATTACCTGAGCTTGCCCGACAGACAGCTTTTTTAATTCAGCAAGTATAGCTTCGGTAGTTTGGCCTCTATGTCGCCGGACAACAACATTACCGACAAGGAATCCAGGGCTTCAACACGCTCAGCGGCAATAGAAACACAATACTACGGGCTCGGCAGCTGTACGAGAAAGTAATCACTTGATTTTTTGGACGAAATAGCCCACAGTTTACTAACCTGCATAGCGAAAGCGAGTGGATTAATAGACTGTGTCGCAGCACAGTCACCGAGCCCACAGAGCCACGCGGGAAGCTGTCGCAGCTTTATAGCTGACATGGCGCGGTGGTCGATGATGATGGCGCTCTTTGTGGTGGGTCGAGGAGAGATATGTACATTTTACCCCAAAAAAGTAAGTAAATAAATACCGTTACACGTCACTCGTTCAAAAAATAACTAAATACGTTACTCTTTGCCGAAAGTAGTAACTAGGTAGAAGTAACTCGGTACTTGTAACGGATTACGTACAAGCCTAGCCGAAGGTGTAGTTTCCACTCGAAAGAGTTGACACACGTTCCGTCACGCAGTGGGAGGGCAGATGGCAGTCACCGGTATCGCGGCCATAGCACGTAAGCACACATTCTAAGGTGACCATCGGGCAGGCAAACAGTAAGCCAGGAAGCAGCACACGGGTGATGACGGAGGAAAACACGTGCATAGCGAAAGCGATTGGATTAGTTAACTGTGTCGCAACACAACCACTGAGCCTACCATGCAGGTGTGCATTTTAATTACATTTTAACTACTAGAGAATACGTTTAAGAGTAAAGGACTTCGAGGAAGTTTTGTTTTGAAATCTGCATGGGGTAAATCCAAGCTGAAATCAAAGCACGTCCGCAACTTTTTTATAATCTTTATTGTAAATTTACGTTCGCGTGGTTGAATACGAAGACATCTTGCCGCGTACCGCCAGGGTTATTTTTCTATATAAAAGAACTCAAGCGCGCCGAAAGCACACGCACACTACCAGACTTCAGCCAAGAGCCTCCAAAGAGATCAACCTATTGAAAACCATGAAGACTCTGGTAAGAGGCACCAGTTTTTTTATAGGCTGCTTTCTAACTTATATACGGTGTTTTAAACTCATTTATTTATTGATCGAACAGTTTTCTATTATTTTTGGACGACCCGTTTTTGCATACACGAGAAAACGTGTCGTTTTCACATGTATCTGTGTGTGTATGTATGCGCGTCGACGATCACATATACTGAATGGGACATTCAGCATAAAAGATTTAGAAAGATACTGAATTACAACGTAGACTCGCCACTTCAATCTGTTATTTACGTTTTAAAAGGTTCTAAATACACTAATTGGCGAAGAATGTTCGTAAAGTAGGCGTAAAAATACACATGCCATGTCGCAATTTATAGACATTGAGAGCCTCAAAACGCCATATTGAATTTCGGCTCTTACTTATATGTAAGGGATTAAACTATGTACGTTCTTATATTTCATACTTGCTTAGGATGAGAGTTGAGATATTCTTATAAAAACATTTAATCTAAAAATTACTATATGTTTGCTTATAGCAATAGACCGACACGCGGAGCGGCTCTGTTTACCAACACGGCCAGAAGGCCGCGCATGCGCGGTAGCTATGTGGGCAAAAGCAGCCCGGCTCTCCGTGTTTTCGCCATTGCGCTCTATGGCGTGCGCTCGTTGTTGACGTTGTAGGGACGCTTGTACCTTTATTTGTGCGTCGTATTTCCTCCCAACGTATGTCGTATGCTATGCCCGACTATTTGAGCTCGTTGCCCGAGCCTGAACGGCAGCGGTATCGAAACAAACTGTGCGTGGACGGCGTTGACTTCGAGGATCCGTACGCCGCATAAACAAGACCTGCTGGACTTCCGATATGAAGTTGCCGCCACCGACGTCGATGGTTCACGTCGTCGTTTATTTAGTTTTTTCGCCAAGCCAGTTCACGGCCGACACGGTGCAGGCGTACACGTTTCTCGAGGCCTACGATTACTTCGAGTTGGTTTCCGCACTGCCGGCGGGAGCCTGTGGGTCCGCGGAAGTGTGTGTATTCATTAATTGATTAAATACACACAGCGTCTTCAAGTCAAGGTATATTTTTCCTGCCCTCATGACCACAAGGCATGAGAAGCAGTAACGCTTTGTCCGTTCTGCAGTCTTGGCGGTTACAGGTTACAAGTAACGGCGTTGTTGGTAACGCGTTACTTTTTTCAGTAACGTAGTAACCCACTCGTTACGTTTTCGACACAGTAACGGGTAACGTACTTATGTTACTATTTCAAGTAACGTAGTTACTTTACTCGTTACTACTTCCTAAGTCTTAAAGAAATTACACTTCAAGTTTTTACGTGTTTTAGGCGTCAAGCCATGATTTTCTGTGCGTTTTTTCTCGTAAGTAGTTAGGTGAAACCATAAAAAGAGATAAGGTAATCATGTTCAGTTTCTGCATGAACATAATGTTTCTTGATATATTACCTGTATCGTCAAAACCGTAAAATGTGTTAAATCATAAATTAAAAAAGTAACGCAGAATCAGAAATAACGTGCGTTACTTTTTATCGGTAGCGGTAACGCGTTCCTTTTAATTTTAGGTAACGTAGCTCAGTAACGCGTACCTTTTATTTGCAAGTAACGAGTAACGTATTTCGTTACTTTTTTTCGGTAACGCCTACAACACTGCCGTTCTGTCGCCGTTCCCCTTCTGCTGGGTAGCACAGGCGTAGCGAGCCTCCGACGAGCGCTTGGCCGGTGCTTTGTGCGCAAACATCGTGGGAACAAAATCCGCGTGGTCTCGATCAGACAACGGTTTCCCTGCACATAAGCAAGCCTCGGGACGGAGATTGAAATGGAAGCCGCACTTGCCTTCAAGAAAGTGTTTGCCGCACAAACGGTCGTTCGCGCGAGGCGACCATACTTTTCGATCCACGGATATTAATCACCTTCTATGCCTTTCAGAGTCTGCCGGGAACTTGTGGGAACTCACTCTGCTGCTTTTCTTGTACATTTTGGCGCAATTAACGGCAACAAAGCTTCGCGGCATGCTGAAATGCTATGACGCCCATGCGAAACGTGCGCGCTTTTGCCCACACCCCCCGGCTACGGCGCGATCGCAGCGCCGCCGCAGCTCCGTGACGTCAAGCCCGCGTGTCGGTCTATAGGGAACCGTATAATATTTTTTTATTTAGACGTGATGGGAGACCGCGGGAATAAATCTAACAAAACACAATACGCTCTCACAAGCAGCATAAAACATTAGAATGAGATCAATCTTAATCCTCTCGTCTTCGGTGAGTGGATGATGGCATAGCATCTTTACTCGATACAAGAATGTCGAGTAACTCATTGCAAAATAACAAACAAGATTGTTAAAACCGGATCACTTCCTTTAGTTATTTTTTTTTTAAAGTTGAAGGTAGACAAGATACATTTCTCATTAAATATAGGTACGATTCCGTTTTTCTGAGTTTAGTTCTCGTGAAAGTACGAGGTTGTTTTTCGAAGTTTATTTTCCACCTGAAAAGTCGTGGCTTATCAGAGTTTATTTTTGTTAGTTTTTAAATTATCTAAACTTTAGAGTTTAATTTTAATTTTTGCCAATTTATCAACATCTAACATGAAAATTAAGAGTTAGGACACAAACGTACCCTACATTCATCGGAAATCACCTTTATCGAACGCTATTTAGTCAGCTGCATTTGGCATTGGCACATTGCTATCACCAATGCTAACTATCCCATGACAAATATAGCAAAAAAGTGTTGCTTCATTAACAGTCCATTCTTTGAAATAACTAAACTCCTGGACGTAATCGCTGGGAAGTATGGAAGCTTCAGCTGCACTGTCCCTCTATTGAAATATGCGGGTTCACAGCTACCCCCTTCGAAAAACACTACCCCTCGTTCCTCTAAGGAGCACACAAATAGTGTGGCCCAGACTAGAAACCTAAACAATGGCTTTGGTCGTAACCAAGACAACGACCGTCGACGAGCTAAAAGGTAAACCCATTTTGGTCAGTGGTCCGAGACTGCAAAGGAAACTAACACGCCCCCTCTCAGGACCAGTCACCTTGTGATTCTATAAAATGTGGTTGTAAAATACCGCTTTTTTATTTTTACATTTTGGTCGTGACCTCTTATTTCGGAGTTTTTCTTGACGGCAATTTTACGGCGAGTGTTTTTCGGATTTGTTCCGGATTTATCCGATAACATAACACGGAACCCTAGTTTTAGAAAAACGCATGAAAAATTAACTCTTAAATATTTTCGCGCGCGTCGACCATCTCATCAGAGAGTTCAAAACCTAAAAGAAAAAGTTCACATAAAAGTATATGGTATGAAGTGGGATCTGCTTGGTCATGTGCACGCGGACCTTTTAACGTGTATTGATAACCATTCGCTAAAGTGCTAGCTGGTGGTTATCAGTGTTTTTGCACACGTTCCTTGAAAACGGGAATAAAATCACGTTCCTCGTTCCTTCTCAATCGTGGAACGGGTTTCTGTTATAAGTTCCACGAGTTCGCAAGGAACACCCTACCGTCACATTTGTAAGATTGTAACGTGTTGTTAAATGAACGGCACATTTGTGTATTTAAATAAAATCTTGTGCTGGATAATTCATAGATAAAATGAATCAATCAAGTGAAAATATTGATATCGAACTACGTGTCGAGTCGCCACGGTTACATTTGTTCCCGTTTTTTGTTTTCGACAATCCCTCGGAGGTTGAAATGGACGATCATAAAAGGCCTAAATGCCTAATAAAGTAAGGTAAATTTGCAGTTAAATATATAAATAAACGAGAAACGCCGTTCGTCCTGCCGTTTTCTTGAAAACGCCACGAGTTCTCGTTCAACTTCCACCGATGCAAGATGGAACGGCGGCGTTGCTTCCTAGAAGAACGCGGTTCCGTACACAACTGGTGAATTTTAGATACACAGTAAAACAGCGCAAAGAAGACAGGGGCAAGAAAGTACACAGTGGAGGTGTTCCTTCTGTCTATTTTCTTGTTTGTGTCCATTTTGCGCTATTTCATATGTACCTCATTGTTAATTATTCGTGAATATTAACGCGGAGTAAAGGCTGTTTCACATGCTGCGATTCTCGTCCAACATTGGTGCGATTTCAAGTAAATGTACGATTAAAATTGCAGTCGCACTGTCGCAGGAGCTTTGCGACTAATTTCCACCAAGTGGGTATTTTGTCGCAGAGTCGGTGCGATCGCTCCCTCGTAAAACAGCCGTTCATTAGCCAGGTTTCGTCCGCAGAAGCTGCGAGTTCGAAAATAAAATTAGACACCTAAAATCTTTTGGTTTAATGCTTAATTATTAGAAATTTCTAGTTACATTTTTATTCGTAAGACATTGGTGTTTATTTAGACTTTTTTGTTGTATTTTAGGCAAAGTCGAACGCGTGTCGTCCATGTCCGAAGGGCCGGCCGCGCTGACAGAAGCGCGCGGTTGTTGGAGCGTGGGAAACTAAACATCGCGATTGCACTCGCTGCGTCGGCTGTCGCGCCGATTTTTTTTCGCACAGTCGCTCCATGTGAAACAGGTTTAAGGTGAATAGGCGATAAATATTGAACTGAAAAGAAAGGCTTAATCGGCGAACTTGTGCCAAACAAAATAAAGGACGAGCGTCAATACAGCAGAAAAGCGGGCCGTGATTTGGCGGCGTAACAGGAAGCGAGAGCAAGACTGACTCTACAAGGTCACGGGCAACTCCTTATCCAGTGTGGGTCGGCATCGCAAAAATTTGGCCCAGAAGGATTGAGCACCAGGCGTTCGGGTTGAGAATGAACAGGCACTTTCGAGAACAAGAAACGTGAGTCTTCTAGAATTCTGTGACCGAGCGCTGCTTCTTCGGCCCTGAGCGAGACAATATCCGCCCGAAGATTTTTTTTTCGATCGCCTATGAAAACAAATATCGGCCAGTGTATACAAATATGTAGACTTGAATGTCGGTTTAAAAACGTCGCATTGCAACGTGTTAAACTCATAATGGTATTCGCTTGCAGCTTCCTCTGACTATCCTCATCATGGCTGTTGCCGGGGCCCTCGCCGGCGTGCTCGGAGGCCACGGATACGACGGACGCTACGAGGCTACCAATACTACCGAGGCTACGGCGGCTAGAGCGGCTAGAGCGGCTAGGGCGGCTACGGCGGCTACGGCGGCCACGCCAGCTACGGCGGCTACGGCGGCTACGGCGGCTACGGCGGCTACGGCGGCTAGGGCGGCCAGGGCGGCTAGAGCGGCCACGGCGGCCACGGCGGCCACGGCGGCTACAGCGGCAACGCCGGCTACGGCGGCTACGGCGGCTAGGGCAGCTAGGGCGGCTAGAGCGGCTACGGCGGCGACGGCGGCCACGGCGGCTACAGCGGCTACGCCGGCTACGGCGGCTACGGCGGCTAGGGCGGCTAGGGCGGCTAGAGCGGCTACGGCGGCCACGGCGGCCACGGCGGCTACAGCGGCAACGCCGGCTACGGCGGCCACGGCGGCTAGGGCGGCTAGAGCGGCTACGGCGGCCACGGCGGCTACAGCGGCTACGCCGGCTACGGCGGCTACGGCGGCTAGGGCGGCTAGGGTGGCTCGAGCGGCTACGGCGGCCACGGCGGCCACGGCGGCCACGGCGGCCACGGCAGCTACGGCGGCCACGGCAGCTACGCCGGCTACGGCGGCTACGGCGGCTAGGGCGGCTAGAGCGGCTACGGCGGCTACGGCGGCCACCGCTGCCACGGCGGCTACAGCGGCTACGCCCGCAACGGCGGCTACGGCGGCTGCGTAAGGCGGCTACGGCGGATACGGGCTCGGGTAAGCAGTCTGAAGTGCTGGAGGACTGCACTGAGGATACGGCGGGTTCGGACCCTACGGCGGGTACTGAAGCTTCTACGGTTGGAATCCAGATGAAAACGCGGAAATAAATAACGTCTCCGTTTCTAGCAATGCTTTTGATTTCATTTTACTCACCACTACGCTTCTAGAGTTTACCGATACGGCCGTGCTACGGTTTCAATGAGCAGATTGCCTTATGGAACTTGCAAATTGGCCTTGCAAATTGGCCCTTAGGCCACGCACTCCCATAAATACGATGTAACTATTTTTAGTTATATAACCCCGTGAGAATATTCCTGCAGTTTTTCAGCTGTCGATAGCATCATCACAATGACCTTTGATTCAACTCGGTGTTCTTCTTATGGACGCAACTTTACCCAAATCAGACGGCTCGAGTGACGCCTATGGGATAACCAGAGGATGTTGTAACGTAACTTAAACGTCCGCAGGGGCACATGTGCTTTAGGAGACTGATTAAGAAGGACCTTTTACTCTAGTTCTTCGGCGCCACATATTTGCTTGTTTTCGATGGCTTTCGGAAAAACCTAAACGATCACGCATCTGCTTTATTTATGGGCGAAGCTCCTTAGGTTCTAGCCTTGTCCGTCCGACCGCCCGTCCGTTCGACAGGCATTCGTGCTCACATAAAGAGAAAAAATGTTTGCGCAGTCGACAGGATTCGAACCTGTGCGGGAAGACCCCAATGGATTTCTCGTTCATCGCCTTAACCACTCGGCCACGACTGCGGGACGAGTAGGGGGCTCTGAGATGTGGTATGAACTCCAGAGCTGGGGTTTCTGTCATGGATGAAACGTTGCATGTAGCCGCTCTACGTCTATACAGGAGAGGGCGCTGCGGTCAAATGCGGATATAATCACGTTAAGCTTTGCATGCATTGGCTCTACGTTTATAGACGAGAGGGCGCTGCGGTCAAATGCTCAACTGCTTATGTAACCAGGATCCATACAAAACATTCTCTTTCTGACATGGACCGCTGACTTAAGCGGTGGAAACGCGTTCCCACGGCTTCTAGCGGATCCAAGCTGATTCGCTAGAAGAACCACTGGCTCTGCATTTCACCGACTATAACGTAGTAATAATGAAGTAGAAACGCAACCCGGAACTCAGCACTACCCATGAGCAATAAAAAGAATGAGCACCACTAGCACTACTTATGAACAGTTAAATCAGTATCATCAGCACCACCAGAGCCTCGCCCCAATCAACATCATTCACCACGTGGAAATGCAGCCTCTTTTTTCAACAGACGAAGAAACAGTATTGTGGAAGGTTGGAACACAATATTAGTAGCTACCAGGGCTTTATTATCACTGGCTGCTGATGCCGCCGCGTAAGCACGTCACGGAACATGGTCAACTTCAATCTGCTACAACTACGCAGAAACTAAAAAACACAGGCAAACAAATTCTCTACGAAATTGCTTACAGTATATGAAAGCAACATCCATGCAAAAATATGAAATCTAAACTCTAGAAATTTCTGCTTTACCTTCGATGTCCAGGCTTCTCGGATCATTTATTACTTCCAGAAGCTATCACTGGGCACCATAAACGTAACAGTTCTTTTTACCTTAAGCCTTGGATCTCATACAAACTTGTTTGCAAAATATTTTTTTTTTGGTATCCCTGTCAATTTAGAATATAGATTTGTTTTGCCGTATTTACTGGAGCGATTGGTGAATTGTTTAATAACAAAGCCTGCGCGTCCACTTTCTCGCGCATCCCAGGCAGCACAAAACGTCGAGAAAAAGTCCCGGACGTCCACGACGTCCCGCATGACTTCGATCACGTTTTTTCGATGTTGAGGTGACGTCCTTATATAACGTTCCCTTAGAGTCCAATGAGTGACGTTGGGACGACGTTGTATTTCAACTCAAACGTCGTCAACGTTCCTACGACGTCGATGCACGACGTTCTCATAACGTCCAACGCTCACGTTTCTTTGACGTTGAACTGAAGTTCATAAATGACGTCCCATTATCGTCCTGTCCGTGACGTGCTGGCGACGTCACGTTTCAACTTTAACGTCGTCATCGTCGCCACGACGTCAAAACAAGACGTTTCAGCAACGTCGAACACTCACGTGTCTTCGAAATTAAAATAAAGTCCAGGGTGACGTTACATTATTGCCCCGTCTGTGACGTTTCAGCGACGTCGCGTTCACACCTAAATGCCGTAAACGTCATACAAGACGTGCTGGCAACGTCGACCACTCACGTTTTGTTCGACGTTTTTAGACTTTCCAGCTCAATCTCCAGCCGCAGAATCACTGTGATCAAGGTGACAGTGCTCAAGAGCCGCAAACAAAACTTAATTTTTGAGAGGTTGAGAAGTTTAATTATTTAAACAATAATTGGCGTATTTCAAAATGCTATTAATTGCACATCGATGACGCTAGGGAGGACATATACAAAACTCAATGTACACGGAAGAAAAAGATAATATGAAAGCATGTTGGGAATATCATTCCTTTTAGATGTGCTAGCTTGTTATAAATTTGGTCAGTTTAAAATATTGTTACAGGTTTAATTTGCGAAGCCCATGGCGTCTAGAACGGATCGAATTGTGCCATTCTTGCATTTTGCTCGCGCGTTGTCGTCTTCCATGGTTCCCGGGCCCTGGCACGCGCCTCAGGGGCGCCGCTACACTATCCCCTCTCCAGGTGATTTCAGGCCAGTATCCTTTCCTAGGAGCATCCATACTGCTCCGCGACCACCCGAGATTGTCTTAAGGTTCGCCAATTTCTCTTCGTATTTTCTAACCCATGCCCACCTGCGCACAACCAAAAAATTCGCATCAACATCACAGTTCATCCATAACACCAACTTCCAGCGCCTTAGCGCTTTCGGTAGATCGGGGCGCAAAGTCTTGTCACGTGACTGTCAGTACAGATCTGGCTTTCGTTGCCACTGGTGACTTACTCAAACGAAAATCGCATGTCAGCACACACTATATCAGAGCACAACTTTACTGCACACTTGCGCATTTTTGGAGTTGACCCCCCACCCCCCCCCCCCCCCCCCCCCAAAAAAAAAAAATGCCCGGCAATGACGAAATCTGGTAGATATTGGCAACGGTTTGTGGAAATTGACATTCATGATGCCAACCCCTGAATGGCCCAGATGATGGTCCAAAAAGCGTTCAAGCCCAGTCCGCACTTACGTGCCGAAAAAAAAAAAAAAACACAAAAAAAAGAGAAAAAAAACAAAAAAAAAAACAGCCGGCACGGCGCGACAGAGAGGGGGAAAGGTAGGCAGAGGAGATGCCAGTGGTATCTCCACAGAACCCCATGCGATGCGTCGGGAAACTCGGCAAGAAGAGGGCGAGAGAGAAAAGTGGGGGAAGATAGCGACGACGAACAATTGTCAAGCCTAAGTTCCGGGTGCACGTATTTTCTCAGTCGTTCCCAAAATATTTCACTGAATGTCAGTGTTGCCAGATTGGGCTGTATATAGCCAAATTGGGCTACATTTTTTTCTAGTTGGCGTCAAAATTTCGTGGTTGGCTATGTGGCTATTTTGGGCTATATCTAAGAATGCGGTGAACTTTTGTCGAACCTCAGGTTCGACGGCGAACTTTGAGGTTCGGCTTGTTAATTTTCGAACTTTTAATCAGTTTCGAAAAAAACGTGTTTTTTCTTTTGGCTAGTCGAGAGGAGAGAGAGGAAGGAGAAAGGCTTCAAACCTCGGTGTTTTCACAATGCGCAGTGAAGCAATGCTTGCAGAGTTCAAGCGGTCTCCCTGCAGCGCAGTGAAGCAAACCAAACAGATTACACTTTTACCACAGGCCCGGTAGCGCTCCTTCAAGCCGGACGCAGATGGTTCCGCCCGGGCGTAGACTGAACTCTCCGAATGCTGCTTTGGTGCCCATTGTGATAATCCTTGGGCACCCAGGTTTGTAAAAATGAGAGGTCCGCAGTTTCACCGCTAAACAATTGATTACCTTCCAGTCGCTGCCCACCCCAAGAAAGGACAACACAATCAGAAATGGCATGAACATGAATGGGCGACACTAATATTCTTTACAAAGAAAAAGAGACTGGTGGGATATTGGTAAGGACCTGAGATATTGGGGTTCTGGTTTGAAACATCCAGTGTTCTGACTGTTCTCCTTCTGTATTTCGTTCTTTTACTGTATGATCATATCTCCCGGACTTCACAATAAAGCTGTCTTTATGTGTTTTGTACTTCTGAAAATCTACGAAGGAAGTGCCAGTTTTGTAGGGATTTTCATCAATCCGAGGCTTTTTCTGAAAAATTTACAAGTAACATAATATGCACAAAAGGTGGTGCATCTGAGGGTTGAAACAGAAATTGCAACGTGTATGTACGAGTGTGAGAAATTGTCAATATAAGGCTTTAAAAGTCATTGTTTTTAGTCTTGGCTATTTTGGGCTATATTTTTTTTACGGCTTTGGGTATATTTGGGCTATACCTCCCAGTCGTTTGGCGGTTTTTTGTGAGACCATCTGGCAACACTGCCAGTGAATGTTCTGTTCTTCGACTGGCCCAGAGAGAACAGCTCTGGGACCCGGTCCAGCTTTTTCCGAAAGCCAGTCACTAGCACCGGCCGTCACGTCTACGGGTCTACGAGGCAGGCTGCTATGTCGCCGTGATTTTTTTTTCTCGAGTCTGCATACAGTATAAGTGCTGCGATTGGATGAGTTGTTCAAGTCGCCCCCATGAAGAAGTCGGTGATCGCCAAAAACGCCGTCGTATTCAGTCACGGCTCGAGGACCTTTTTCAAGGCCATAACGCTTCACACGTTGAATCGTACTACTGTTCGGATCAAGGTGCCTGTGAGGATATGAATGACGCCCCCCAGAAAACAAGTGGCAGTGCACATAACGGCGCGTCAATTTTTTCAGACGCCTCCGACGATCCCAATGAAGAACGCCCAGCGGACGGGATCCCCCTTCTGAAACCATTCCCGTGCACGCAGCGAGAGTACCAGCTACGCGCAATGGGACGGCTAAAGCACGCACGTCAGCGCATTAATCAGAACCAGAACGAGGTAAGCGGTGGAACATTCCGCCCCGC